AACGACTTGTCTCTACTAAATTACAAAAATATTTATTTTTTATAATGGACGCGATATTTAAAACCGAATGTTTAAACCCGCCATTTCGATACTTCTTGCAGTATTCATTTTTTTAAATTTTTCATGATTGATTCGTAAGGTTTCTTAGTTTTTAACAATAATAACAATAATTTAAGGACGATAATAGTTCTGAGAATATTGTGCGAGCTTAACTGAAACTGTTAGTTTTGGTTAGTTTAGTTTTAGTTAAGCTCTGAAGGAGCCAACAGGATGATTGGCGAAACGTCAGCAAGTTTGATTTATGCAGTAGGAATAGTTTTATTTAATAAGTTCATAAGGTTGCATTAAAATTCAACTGCGTCACACCTATTGAAACATTTCTTCAAAACAGTGACCAATATGCCAGAGATCCGGTAGTTTCAAACGTTCCGCGTTTATAGAACGGGGACGTTCACTTTTGATTAAAAAAAAAACAAGAAATATATCCCGCTGCCTCCGCCGCTGGCGTCCTAGGGTCGAGGCATTTTATTGTTCGGCTCATCCTCTTCATTGTCTAAATCCGTTCCCATGCGCTTCGCCTCTCGAAATGTCAACGCTGCGCTGTTAGAAATTCACCTCTTGCCGAACGATGATCCGCTCGCCGTCTTTACACAGGGCGTTTCACGGACGGATTGTACCGTAACGCTCGCCCGCTAATTGTCTAAACGTTTAAGATGCCGACGTTATTATTCCGATTGTTTTCGTTTGTCGTTTCGTAGAGGGCGTGACAGATCGATTCGCGTGCCGTTCGACGCGTAGATTTTCCATTTTTACGCGGGTTTTTCTACGGCCTGTTGTTTTACGCATGCTACAGACTACAGCATTATCCATTTGTCATTTATACGACCTCTATAGAGTGAACAATTGCGTCAGGTATAGTCTGTCTCAATTTTCAGCGTGCTGAATTTTGTCCGCAATTATGGAAGTTACCTGCCGACGGCGACGGCAATAAAACTCTGGTCTGTAGGTATTAAAGGACAGAACAGGGACGGACTCTCGAATGTTTTGGTAATAATATAATTTATAATAAAATATATACAACAAATTCATTGCTAGGAATATATATATATATATATATATATATATATATATATATATATATATATATATATATATATATATATATATATATATATATATATATATATATATATATATATATATACATAATTACTTTATTATTCTAAATGACAGATTGTAAACACTATTTTATATTACTTTTACAGGCTTACGAAAGGATAAAGTTGGGCTTGGGTCTATGTATTGTGGTAATGCGTTTTTCTCTTTATTTGAAGGTGCTTTCGTCTAACAGTTTTGAGTGGAATCAGCTCATCCTTTGGATACAGTGTCGGGTGGATTGAACTATGTTTCATTAAGATAAATTATGGCTCTCTTATCTGATCTATTTCTATTAACTTCTTGAGGTGCGTAATCTACGTGAGTCCACTACTACTTGCCTTTGCCTTACAAAAAACCATTTAAAAAAAAGTCTACGGAAGGTCGTACGGCTTATATTTATATTCGTTTCATCTTCTTCCAGCTTTTTTTCATTTTATTCAAGGTATGGACAACGTCGTTTTGATAAAGACGATATATTTTCTTTCTTAATGGGTTCTGATCACTATTACCTATACCGTGCGTTCGAAAATCACTACGTTTATGCCTTTTCTTCAATTCTCCACAATTAATAATATCCCTTATTGACTTTTTGTAAGTAGACGGGTTTCTTTTAAAGCTTCTTGTCGAATACGTCCTTTACTGATTAAAGTTTCATAGATATTTTTCACAACCTGTTTTGCATCAAGCGACTAATGATTTGGAAGCGACAAAAATGATTATTCAACACTGCCACAAATGGTCAACACTCAAGAAATATATCAGCAGGAAAGAAATATACCTGGCCTCGTCACTCAAGTAAGAATTTTTTTTTTGTTCATGGCTTTACCCAATAACATCGTTAAAATTTTATGGGGGAGGAACCGCCGAAAGTAAACACGATGAAGATTGAGACAGACTATACCGCGGAATTATTTTCTAAATTCTGAGAATTGTAAACCACTGCTTTATGTGCCTGGAATCATGTTCTATTTTTGCTGAAAACTATTAACGCTACGTTTTAGAAATGTATATAACCACTTTAGTAGAACCAATTAAGGAAACTAATGTCATAAAACACTCACAAATGATAATAGTAAGGATTACACCCAATTAAAGAAAATATATAAATATGCTAATACTTATTACTACATGCAAGTCGCAAAAATCAGACGCAAACTTTTGCGACAGGGCCTGCAGGTTTGCCCTAAATAAATTGCGAATTATACTGTCACAATGTTTATAATTACTTGCAATTTATACATCGCCCAACATTCCGGGTGATTTGAAGTGTATTTTGAAGTAAGCGCCAAATCTGGAACGTATTTATTTAGATAATCGGATAGATACCGCCACGAAAGCAAAAACACAAAAACTAACAACATCCTACTTTGTGGGAATGGCGTGCGCATAATAACAGTCCGCGCGCTTATCCGACAAAACATGCTTATTACGTTTAGTCGAATTAAACGATAAGAAAGCTTTTTTTTTCGCTGAAAATCCTTGATATTTCTAACCTCCTCCACACTCTGACGCTTCCGAACAATAAAATCCGTTTGGCACGCCGGTTTTGGGTACGTGCACTTGTCTACCGTCCCGCCGCGTCCATTGAAACGAGGCGCGGAGAGCTTTTCCCGGAGAATTTTAATTGTGCATCGATAAGGATCTAAAGAGCAGTGGCGTGCGCGTCCGCCTTCATAAGAAAAACTTAGAATACATGTTCCTGGACACTTCTAAACTTCGTCCAATGAAGAAGGACACAGAGTTTGTGGACTCTTGAGTCATAACATCCATCTGACATTCAGTTCCGATATACGGGATGGACCAGTTTTATCTTGACAAACTGTAACATTGCTAGTAGCTCGTCCCTGTGATTAGAGAGTTGATGCTTTTGTTGTTTTTTATAGGTTAAGTTTTAGTTTTATTTTAGTTAGACAGACTGAGGTTCAAAAAATGCTGCTGGGTTTGACAATCTGTCCTTATGCTCTATGACAACAAATAAATAAATATGTCTCTAGCATTGCTAATGATTATGGAAAAATTAAGAATGTTTGTGATCATTTACAATATACTCTCCCTTTAACTTGTTTATTTACCGATTGGGGAAAAAACGTCAAATATAAAAATTGTTCAAAAATAGTAACCCATTTATTTGTATATATATGAGGTTTTGCAGAAATTACCTACAGATAAAACTTATATATTTTTTAATGGAATATTTTATACGACTACTAAAATAACTAAAAAGTCTACACATTTCTTGTATAAGATATACTATACCAAAACCCAACAGTTTTTACAATATATGCGCTTTTAACTTAAAAGCGACATTAATCAGTATAATAATATTATAGAATTTATAATCATTCATATATATATATATATATATATATATATATATATATATATATATATATATATATATATATATATATATATATATATAAATATAATATTATTAATATTAATTAAATAGGTCGCCACCAAAAAACCAAAAGGTTTGTTTATGACTGACAGCGACCGTTACCAGTCACACATTTAGTAAAACTTACTTTATAGATAGTGATTGTTGATTGATGTTTGTTGAAATTTTTCATAGATACTTTTTTAGTCAACTTGCAATGGATAATTACACATAGTTCCAATCAAGCCAATTTAGCCTTTTTGTTTTCTTTAATAAACGTTTCCAAAATTCGTTGTATACGTGATAAAAGGAGCATAATTTTGTTAAATCTGTAGCTGTCACTGTCAGTTATAAACAAACGTTTTGCTTTTTATTGACCACCTACTTCACAGCTACCAAAGATATAAATGAATAACAAAAAATAAAGATAAATTCTAGAATATTACTTTATTTTTGACTGTTGTTTTTATGCTAAAAGCGCATATATCTCAAAAATTATTATTTTATACAAGAAACGTGGCATTTTCCATTAAAAACTTTGATAGGTGGGAACTTTCTGCAACACTCTGTATATATAAAATAACTTACTATTTTTTGAATAACTTTTATAGTTGGTGTTTTTTCCCCACACGTTAAATAAACAAAATGAAAATTAGAGACAGATATACGCACTTTAACCAACTTTGAAGTCGTCTAAAAAGGAACAATCTGAACAGCATTTTCCAAATTCCCGTAACTTTGGGGTTATTTACAATAAATTTATTTTGAGCGATCCATATTTGAAAATTTCAAGATGGCTTTTTAAGGATACGGGGTATACCCTCCCGTTAAACCCATCAGCAATAATATATCAGTATAAACATTGATTTTTTTAATATTGTCGGTATGTGCAAGTAATTTTTTTTTATCCCTTTGGTTCATTGCTCTTGAAATTCATATATAAAACAGTCTTGCATCCGATTTTTTTTTACGATATACTATGCTACCTTTTTACATTCTTTGTTTGCGCCAATGAGTTCTACAAGAAACATCAAATCGCTGTTTTATTATTTTATCACCGCAGATTATCGAGATTACCTTGAAAAACGCATTTAACTTGAAATTACCCTGTAACTTCCGAAGTTACGGAGATGTCGGAATATGAGGTGCGCAATTAAATTTCTCATAAAGAAGCTGTGAATTAGTTATACTGAAGTTAGAACTGTGCGTCTCAAGCGCTTCTCAAGATAGTCAGTATTCATGATCAGATTAGTATATAGCGAAAGTTTGTCGCCGCCACTGACCATAGGCTTCAGTTCCCCGCCCCGCCGGTGCCCGTAAACATCGGAGTATCGCGAGGGCGTAAACCGGAAGCGCGGCCAACTAACAATGAACCTGCGAGGCTGTGCCACCCACACTTCCGCTTGGCGCGGTCGTCTCTTATACGTACGCGCCCGATCGCTTTTAACTCCACACCACTTACCATGAAAACCATGAAAATTCCAATCTTCTAATTGTCCGCTCGCAAGGATTTTCTTGGAAGAACGTCGTTGGTATGGGTCTCCCCACTCGAGTCACTTTTAATCGGCAATGGCCCTGTGTTCCTTATCTACTGGCCTATAGAGACGAACCTGAAACATAAGAAGAGGAAGAATCGATAGTGATGCAGTTAATATAAGATTTGGCCAACGCAATGATGGTTCATAATAGTATATTATGCAACAAGTGTGAGTCATGAGTTTATGTGGTTATTTGGTATCTGGCAATTATTCACCTGACGCAAGTCAGTTCATAAACTTAAACGTACTGCCAATCAGTCAGTGTCCGTATTACATGGACCACAAAAACAGGCAGGCTACGTCAGAAATCATCTAAGAGATACAGAGTTTAAAACTGAAGGGAACGATCTGGCGTTATGGATTGATGCTAACATACGATTCACAAATAGGCTCTGGGAATACTCCTGTAAACTGTTTAATCAAATATTTTCTTATTTAAATTAACAAATTATCAGTAGAAAAAAATGTTGTATTTTTTTTTTATTTCTTTGTATACATTTGAAAACGCCCTTTGGTTGATACTTGGCCTATCATGATTTGTCATGATTAAATTATTAAACTCCTTGCTTTTTGAATAATAAAGGCACAATAAAATAATAGATGTTAAATAAAATTGCAGCACAGAAGTACAGTAAAAATAGCACAAAGTTAAGACGTACCAATATAAAGTAAGTTTAAAAATAAAATATAAATTAGGTAGGTACATTGATTAAAAACTGCAGTTTCTGAGTGGCCTAATTATAAGTTGAGTTTGAGTTGAGGTTGGGTCCAAACAAAACGTCGTCAATATAAGAGAAAAATATTAGCGACAGCACTTCCCAAATTCGTTGTTCTCTATGAAAACAATTGCATTGCTAATGATTATGGAAAAATGAATAACTTTTAACTCCCTTTAACTTTTTTTAGCCATAAGGAAAAAAACGTTAAATACGAAACTTGTTCAAAAATAGAAACCCATTTACAAGATAGATTTTTATATATACAGGGTGTTACACAAATCACCCACAGATAAAAATTATATGTTTTTCAATGAAAACTTTATATTTTATACGATTAATAAAATAACCAAGCGAAGCGAGTGTTTATTAAACGAGGGATTTAAAAAGTTTACCAAGCCTTTTCCATATAGTACTTTTTCTACGACCGTTAGTTTTTGGGTGCATTTTTGCAAAATAACACGAATACATTCAATGACATGACCGTCAGAATTGACAAATGTCAAAATTCAGTCACAAAATAAAAAAAAGACAATTTTTTATGTTAATTACAATGCGGAAATGATACTTTTCTCTACTATTAATAATCTTCTCCAATGTCGAATCTTTTTTCGAGAACCAGACAAAAATTTTACTATCAGGAATTTGCCTTTGGTGATGTTTTCTAACGTTTTCAACTTCTTCGCTTTTGCTGATGTCAACATCACTGTCGCTGTCCTCTTATTCAATATATCCATTGCCATCATCGTCGCTTTGGCCTGGTTACCCTGACAACAGTTTTCTTTTTAAGTCTAGATCCTTCAAAAAATTGGTAAGGAAGCATCTAAGCTCGTCTTCATCAATGGTATCTTTTGGTAATTTTGCCACATGCTTCAAAACCGGAAAGTAAATTTGTTTTTATACCACTTTACTCTCCGTCTGTGTTTTTTTTTATCTTTATCCATGTTCTCAAGTGTTTACTTTAAAAGCTCATGGAATTCGTTTCTTGGAACCTCAGAAGACTTGGATTACGCATGTTTTAGGATGTTATTTCTCCAGGGCCTGAAAAGTTCGATATCCAGAAGTTGACAAATATGGGTAGTATGCAAACGTTATATTATTTTCTTCACATTGCAGCAGAATATCTGGAATGAAGTGCGATGCTACGCTGTCCCCTATTAACACTTTTTTTCGCTGAAGCAGTATAGCGTGTGGTAAGAAACAAACAAAACAATCATCGACATGTTAATCCAGCCATATGAGCTTCGATTATATCGTGTACTCAATGAGCAACATGGTAGTTAGCAGCATGGGCTGCCCGTCCAAGTGTCCACTTTACCGTACTTGCTGTCGCCGAAAATTGATAACAAGAACACAAGGCAAAGGAAATAATACATTATACAACAAGTGCGGTAAACGACATTTGACTCAGGAGTTTACTCGACACGAGCGGAGCGGAGCGCAGAAACAACACGAATACAGTTTTGTCGGAGCTGTTCATATTGCAGTCTCCTTGCAAGTTTGCTAGAATATATCACCTAAAATTTAACATAATACTTTCTACTATCTTGCCTTTATTTTAGTCAAATAACTAGTTTTCATTCGGTAGGTAGAGGACCATGACAGTAACCTTGCAAATAGAATGGTCTTCCCTATACCGACTTATAGTGTCCTATCTATTCTCAGATGTAAAGTCTCTATATTTCGTCATTTTTTCCAAAAAATTAATTTTTTCTCCGAATCTATTAAATAATGAAATCAATGAAACTAAGATTGGCTCTTTTTCATTTTTGCCACCTGCATTTTTAAAGTGGCTTTGTTCCAATTACACTATGCGAACGATGCATTAAGTGTTTTTTACTGTAGAGTACTAGTAGCAAGCAAACATAATATTTTGGAGTCACAGAAGTATGGAAAGAACTATCCACAAAATCGATTAAAACGTTGAATGCTATTTTTCATTTGTTATTCAACTTCATGGATATGATATATTGATATTCTCTTAGAAATTCTTATCCTCAAAGTTGTCATTAAATTTTCGGACTCCCTCAACAAAATCAGTCTCTTAAAAAAAAAGCTATTCCAGAAAAGAAAAAAAAACTTATACCACAAAGCTTAACTGCAATATAGTAATTCTTGTACCAAAAGGTTTCATGTTTTTTTTTTTCTCGAGAACCATTTTTGTCCCCAAAGGATCGTTAGTGGCTGAGTTTTACTGTCACGGTAGCCATATTAAACAACCCTCGTGTGGCTGTCATTTTGCCAAAATGGTATACCATTAGAAATAATCCGCTAAACATCCCAGCTCCGTGTCTTCACACACTTTGGACGATATTTGTGGGTTGGATTTAGTTAGTTTTGGTTAGTTTCGGCGAAAGTGACTTAGAAAATACTTTTTTTTTTTCCGTAGCGTCACAACCCTTCGTGGGTCTTAGCTGCATCTACGACTCGTCTCCATCTGTCCCTGTCCAACACAACCTCCTTCCAGTTCCGTACTCCCAAGATTTTTACATCCTCTTCGATATTGTCCCTCCATCTGAGCCTTGGTCTTCCTAAGGGTCTCTTTCTTGCTGGGTTTTCTTCCCATATCCTCTTTACAAGACGTTCATTCGGCGATCTCTGCACGTGTCCAGCCCACCTGAGCCTTTGTGCTTTTATTTCGTTTACTAAACTCGGTCTTTTGTACATGTCGTTAAGCTCCGCATTCGTTCTTATTCGATATTGACCCGTTCTCTCATCTATTGTTGGTCCAAAGATTTTCCGCAACATCCTTCGTTCAAAGCGTCTTAACACTAGTTCGTTCTGCTTTGTCATTGTCCATGTTTCCGAGCCATACATTACGATTGGCTTGATTACTGCCGAATATATCCGTAGTTTTGAGTTCCTAGATATCAGTCGGGACTTAAACAGGTTCTGCAAGGCGAAAAAACATTTATTGCCCTTTTGTATTCTTGCTTTTATTTCGCTGGTGATATCGTTATCCGAAGTTATAACTGCTCCTAGGTACTGAAATTGGTTTACGCATTCAAAATTGTGGGTGTCCATGGTTATGTTCTGTCCTATTCTGCCCCTTCCTGCTCTCCGTCCGGCCCACATATATTTGGTCTTGTCCTCGTTGATCATGAGTCCTACCTTCTTGGTCTCCTTCTCTATGTTCATGAACATTTCTTTTGTTTTAATCGTACTGCTTCCTACCGTATCAATGTCATCGGCATATGCCAAAATAATTTCTGGGCCCTTATTTGTAAATATTTCCAATCCAATATTCGCTTCTTTGATGGCCATGTCCAGTACAGTAGAAAATACTTGTCATCTAACAAATCTAACCTAAATTTAGGTGTCACCTAGCGCATGGGCACTAAACATTTTGATGTACATGACCACAATCAACTTGAAAACTTATCCAAAAAATTCGATGCCGAGTCATCTCGAGGTGACACTCGTGTCGATGAGATCAAATTACCGACGGCTAAAATTAATGAGCTAAATGTATACGAAACGGGTCTGAGCAAATCGTAATTTAGATTTTTCATTACCTCTAGTGCCCTAAGCTATAATAAAAAAAATGTCATTATTCTAAATAGTTTTTAAACAAAAATTATTAATTTTATGTTTGTATATATGTGTAATGGTAACAGGAATACCGACAGTAATTTTGGAATTTGAATTAAAGCGATTCCGCAACGCCCAAAGTCGCCCATAAAAACGATTAAAATTGCAACGTTGTAATGGGGTGAGGTTTGATTTCTCGCACATTGTTGCACATTAGATCATCCGCAATCAACGCGTATTCTGTGTAATTAGCTTCCATTGTGGTCCAGCTGTTCAAAAGTCTAATGATCTCATCGACAAGTCGTTAACAGCCAGCTCTATCATCGATTCCCACGATTACATTGGGCTTCAATATGTATTTGCATATTAGAATAAAATTATTCTGTAACGAGCGTTCAATTTAATAAGTGTCTGCTATTTTAGAACGATTTGTCAGTACTTTTATGCCAAAAGTTATAAACATGTGGGTTTCTTCAAGATATTTCGAAATTGTTGCTAATAGCGATTTCGCCTTCACTCAAAAATGATGGAGAAATTCATTTGCTTTTTTAACAACAGACGGGTGGACAACGCCTCCTACAAGTAAGAGCTAAATTAAAAACCTATTCAAAAAACCCCCCGGTATCAAAATTTATCCAAAATTATCATTATTTTGGAAATTATGTAATAAAATGCAAAATGTATCCGTCATGGAGTGACGTACGTCCATTTTTATGATAGTAAAAGATGAAGACTGATAGATAATTATCAATAATTTCATATAAGGTGATGGCTTCAATATTTAAGTAATTAAATTAAATATAAAGAACGACGCTCCCTCCATTT